TGATATTAAAGAGCTTCCGGTTCCTATGACATCTTTCACAATATTGTGGAAGTTTAATATTGGGGGAGCTCCTGGCTCCTGGTTTTGGATCAGCTCAGCTCCAGTCATTGCAGCCATCTTGGGAGTGAACCAGCAAATTGAAGACCTCTCTCTCTCTCTCTGCCTCTGCTTTTCTGTAGCTCTGCCTCTCAAATAAATTAATAAATCTTTTAAAAAATCATCAGAAACTTGCAATAATGGTATTGTTTATGTAACTATTTATTAGGTACTTGCTATGATCCAGGTACTCTTCTAAGTATTTTACTGTTAACTCACCAACATCCTGAGACTGTAGTCATAATCATAAACCTACTTTATATGATGCTTGTACTAACCAACATGACTCAAAAAGACTTTCAAATCAAACCTTGGCAAGAGGTATACTTGAAACATATTTCCAAACACTACAGGAGACTTGCCTTTGTAAAGCTCATAGGAGAGGGTTAGAAAGAACAGTTCCAATACAAGGTTCAAAACAAAATTATTAACCCAAATTGACCTGGGATAGTCACTCAAAGTGACACCTGTAAATGACATATCTGAAGGACAGAGAAAATGCAGTCCAACATCTTCCTTTTTTGACTCACAGCTGAACTAGTTAAATCGCACCAGTGAAAAAAATCTGCCAGATGAACACAGCCACAAAATGATTAATTGGCCTCCAGTCACCAGCTAACCATTGTATTGCAACATGGACTCTATACAGAACACATTTCAGTTTTCCTAGGATTGAAAATGCTTTGGAGCCTGGAAAATCTGTGTTTGAATTCTGGATCCATCCCTGTCTAGTAATAGGAAGCTCAGTGTTTCCACTTTAAAGTGATGTTATTACCTGCTCCTGTTTATTATAAAGAAGACATATTTTGGAAGTCAGAGAATCAGCAGCTGCTGTGGTTATTGGTGCTTCTGTCATAGCTTCCTAACACATCTGTCATCCTTGACCAACTCAACAACCCCTGCTGCTTTTCCTCTAGGCTTCTAGGACTCTGAAACCCATAGTGGCTCATTAACATTTCCCGGGGATAGGCAAGAGCACTCATGTCTTTTACTCTCTGGGTGTCACTGGAGACAGTGATCATGTCTTATGTGAGCTTACGCCTCTAAAATTTTAACTAGCTTGCCTTAAAGGAACAAGAGAATCATGGTGTGATGTGGCATAAAAACTAATCAGAGCCAGCTGTCTTTTTCCATCATTTTCTTACATGGGTGCCACTTCTTCCTATTATGACTTGTGAAGATCTTCCCCATTTCCCAAGTCTTCACAAGGTATGAAGGAGTGTTTGTCAGTTAAATGAAAGCCAGACCAGCTGATATCACATCAATTTAGAGAAGCTAAAAAGGAAACGTTAAGTTTTCTCAGATGGAATTGAGTATAATATTATTTAAGGGAAGCTTGCACAGGTAGATTAGGAATAATTTTGGATGTTTCTCAAACATTGAAGAAAATAAATTCAGAAAGTTGTTACATGGTTCTTCCTTCCCACACACAACATCTATAACCAAAGATTTTTTTTTTTCACATTGTTCTTTGAAGGCGGTACCTTTCTCTGAAGGGAGGAGAGAACTTCCACTTTGACTATGGCCTTGTCTAAATAAGATCAGAGTTGACGAATTCAAGAGGCTTCCATAGCCTTGGCAGCTCATGACAAGAGCCTAGGGTGATTACTGACATCATAAATAAGAGTATCAATTGTTAAATAAACAACAAGAGTCACTGTGCACCTACTCCCCATGTAGGATCTCTGTCCTTAATGTGTTGTACTATGTGAATTAACAGTATAACTAGTACTCAAACAGTACTTTATACTTTGTGTTTCTGTGTGGGTGCAAACTGTTGAAATCTTTACTTAGTATACACTAAGTTGATCTTCTGTATATAAAGATAATTGAAAATGAATCTTGATGAAAAATGGGATGGGAGAGGGAATGGGAGATGGGATGGTTGTGAGTGGTTGGGAGGGAGGTTATGGGAAGGAAAAGTCGCTATAATCCAAAAGTTGTACTTTGGAAATTTATATTTATTAAATAAAAGTTTAAAAAAATGCCAATTAGCCTAAGCAGTTTGAGTCTAAAAATGGAAAGTTAACTTACAAGATCTTCCCAAAAAGCATTCCTCAGTAATTCCCTTATTGCTTCTTCCTTCCTCTTTGTTTTTCTGGACTCATACAAGAAAACTATGGGGCATACTAATTATATTTCAGTATTTCTGTCAGGCAAAAAGATAGGCATGAGTGACAGGGAAGAGGCCATGAAATTCCCCTCCAGGAGTGAAGCCAAGGGCCCTGCTGTCCACCAGTACCCACCCAAGACAGCCATAAATAAATTATGAGCTGATATTTTTAGCCAAGCCCAAAAAGTCCAATTTATAGTCATACGCTCAGAAAGCCCAAAGGTATGCAACTCCCAGATGTCACTCACAAATGCCAATCATGAGCATCACAGCCACATCACTAGTCAGCACCCCTCACACTTCAGTTATAAAAGTGTCAAACCAGGAAGAAAGGGTGCCACATACTTCCTCAACTGGCCCATTCCTCCCTTGGAAAGTACTTTGCGGTAAACTTTTTTTTTTTTTTTTGCTATCACTACTGTCATCTATCTGAACTATAATTCATGACACTGTTGGTGAAAAGGAATCTAGACAGAATAATATGAAAAGTACATTTCCTGACTAGGGTTAAGCTTCTCCATGTTACTCTGAGAATGTGTTTTTCCTAATGAACCACATCCTACCAAATAAATTTTTCCCCTTTTCCTTCTGCTACTAAATTCTGAAAGGATCAATCATGTTTTTTCAAAGAAATAAGCCATCCTAGAGGTTCAATTATCCATTAAATTTTTTTAAAGATTTATTTATTTATTTGAAAGTCTGAGTACACAGAGAGAGGAGAGGCAGAGAGAGAGAGAGGTCTTCCTTTAGTTGGTTCACTCCCCAAATGGCTGCAATGGCCAGAGCTGAGCCGATCCGAAGCCAGGAGCCAGGAGCTTCTTCTGGGTCTACCACGGGGGTGCAGGGGTCCAAGCACTTGGGCCATCTTCTACTGCTTTCCCAGGTCAAAGCGGGGAGCTGGATCAGAAGTGAAGCAGCCGGGTCTTGAACTGGCGCCCACGTGGGATGCCAGCACTTCAAGCCAGGGTATTAACCCACTGCGCCACAGCACCGGGCCCTATCCATTAATTTTATTTTTTTTTGACAGGCAGAGTGGACAGTGAGAGAGAGAGAGAGAGAGACAGAGAGAAAGGCCTTCCTTTGCCGTTGGTTCACCCCCCAATGGCTGCTGGGCTGCGGCTGGCGCACCACACTGATCTGAAGCCAGGAGACAGGTGCTTCTGGTCTCCCATGCGGGTGCAGGGCCCAAACACTTGGGCCATCCTCCACTGCACTCCCGGGCCATAGCAGAGAGCTGGCCTGGAAGAGGGGCAACCAGGACAGAATCTGGCGCCCCGACCGGGACTAGAACCCGGTGTGCCGACACCACAAGGCGGAGGATTAGCTTAGTGAGCCGCGGCGCCGGCCTCCATTAAATTTTAATACAAAAATGAATCAAAAGAAAAATTTCTGAGAGCATTTCTGAGATTACATCTAATATTTCTGATTTTCTTAGTTTGTGTCACTTCTTAATTTGCTGCTTACAATCAGTTATTCAATGCATTTTCTAATCTCTAGATCTGGAATCATTTGCGTCTGGCTATATTGCTAGAGAAAGATGTTTCCACTAAAAGGCTTAAAGGGCAACCACAAATGACTAGCATGCGAGTTGGACACTGGTCAGCATCTTCTCCTTTCAATTCTTAAGTTGAGCTCATAGATTTATTTTAATAATTTTGGGAGACAGCATCTATATGAGCACCAGTTTGAGTCCTAACTGCCCACTTCTGATCCAGTTCCCTGTTAATGTGCCTTCAAAAGCATTGGAGGATGATCCAAGTCCCTGGGCCCCTGCACCCATATGGGAGACCTGACTCCAGGCTTCAGCCTGGCCCAGCCCCAGCCACTGTGGCCATTTGAAGAGTTAAACAATGGATGGAAGATTTCTCTCTCTCTCTTCTTCTCTGTCTGTACTGTGCCATTCAAATAAAAATGAATAAATTTTTTAAAGCAAGATTTTTTTTGACCACTAGTACCAATGAGAAGAAATAGCTGGAAATAACTTAAAATAAGCATAGGAAATAAAAAACCTTATGAAAACCATTTCTATTTTTCAAGGGAAAGGACGTACAATGGAAGATGGACAGCTTTGAGTCCTGCTGTGCATCTAATTCCCATATAACCATGTAAAATCTGCACCTAGGTCCTTTAATATATAAAAAGCTTTATAGCTACATATTTTAGAGTTAAATCCAATTAAGAAAATATTATTGATGTTAAAATTCAAGTTTGTTGTTACAAAACCCCTAGGAGAGGTTACACATAGAAAAAAATCAGTTTCATATTTTCCTCCTAATCCAGTGCCCCACCCCATACATAGGTCCTCATTTTGAACACTAAGTCCCCAACCTCCTTAATTTCACCACTTCTTCCTTACAGCAAGGCAAATCAACATCTACATTAGGTTTATTTATTTATTTATTTTTTTGACAGGCAAAGTGGACAGTGAGAGAGAGAAACAGAGAGAAAGGTCTTCCTTTACCATTGGTTCACCTTCCAATGGCCACTGCAGCCGGCGCACTGCACTGATCCGAAGCCAGGAGACAGGTGCTTCTCCTGGTCTCCCATGCGGGTGCAGGGCCCAAGCACTTGGGCCATCCTCCACTGCACTCCCGGGCCAGCAGAAAGCTGGACTGGAAGAGGAGCAACCGGGACAGAACCGGCGCCCCGACTGGGACTAAAACCTGGTGTGCCGGCGCTGCAGGCGGAGGATTAGCCTATTGAGCCGCGGCGCCGGCTACATTAGGTTTTTCCATCCCACCAGGCAGTCACTAACAGTTGCTGGCATTTGACATTGAAAGCATCTACTTACCATTTCTGGTTTAAGGCTTTGGTGTTTCCTTCTTGATGGTAGATGATGATCTGGGGAGAATAGAGTTCATCTTTTATCTTAGAAGCTAATTCGATTTACTGAGCACTTGCAGACAGGATGACATCCATTACAAAGACTTTCAGCTCCTCATCAATCACAATGCTTTTAGTGTCCGTATCATAAACAGAAACCCATCTCACATTTTTATACTTGTGCTATTGGCAAATGCCACTGTGCTTTCACTATTCCATGTTCATAAAGGATCACAGCATTGAGTAAAATAGAATTCTCTTGAATCATTGAGCATCAGAGAAAAAGAAATATAAACATGTTCCAATCAGTAAAAGACTGGTGTAAGACTTGAAAATGCAGATTTCTGCAGTGGCAGAAAACAGGCTGGCATGCTTTGCCCAACCCAATCTTAAAATGAATACTTTGCCATTCACATTTCAGAACACAGGCACTCACCCTGAACCTGCCAACATTTTTAAGAGAAGCTCCTAAAATATACAGCACTCTGCAAACAAAATTTTCCTATACCCAACATCAGGTGCAAATCCAGAAAACTTCTGTTCATGCATTTATTTCACACTGCATGCCTTCACCTTCCTGAGTCACAAGGGTTGTGTGGGTACGTTCTGCAAGCGATCCATGATTTTAGAACTAATAAGTTGTCTCTTTTTTTTTTTTTGTTTCCTTTGCTATATCTTATCTTCCTTTTTTTTTTTTTTTTTTTTCACCATTTTCCTCAATGCCATTGTAATGACATTTAGTTAGTGTCTCCCTACCCAGTATTGTCTGGTTTCATCTATTTTCCTTGCAATCAGAGTGATCAATCTAAAATGCAAATATCTACACCTGACTTCCATTTATGAAATTCCACAGGACTAGTCGTTTTCTCCTCCTTCCCTCTCAACTCATTTTCCTTATCCTTAATTATTATCTTTTGCCACCGGCTACCATCAGCTTTCCTTTTTTTTTGACAGGCAGAGTTAGTGAGAGTAAGAGACAGAGAGAAAGGTCTTCCTTCCGTTGGTTCACCCCCAAAATGGCCGCTGCCACCGGCGCGCTGCAGCCAGTGCGCTGCTGCCTGCGCACTGCACCGGCCACCATCAGCGTTCTAAAACCTAAAAACAATAGATTGACTTTCACTTCTCAGGGTCCTTATACAACCAATTTCCTCTGCCTGGATGACAAACCAATTATACTATAATCTCTGGGTGGAACCCATGCCAGGATAACTTTTTAAAGCTCCCTAGGTGATTCTAATACACAACTAGGGTTATAAAACACAGCAATTAAAACCCTTTGTTTTATAGGGAAAAAAATTAAATAGACTTAGGGAAGTTATCAAATTTATCTAAGATCACATGTGACAGGGCTTTTTAATCTTTTTGTGGATGCAAATGATTTTTCAGGATTATTTAATTTGAATGTCAGTAAGAGCTATTGAAACTTCCCATATGTGATTTTTAAGTATTATGTTGAAATGGCAACTACATTAAGAACTATGGTAAAAACATTTTTACTACATGTTAGTCCTTCCCCATAGAATGATTCTTTAGCTAGGATCATTGTATGTAAGACAGGACTTTGGAAGTCTATGTATTCAAAATCTGTCGTGAAAATCTACTTACGGGAAGGCACAGTTCTACAATAACTTACTGGGATATCATTGGCATAATGTTCCTTAATTCAAATGTGTTATTTTGGGCAAAATAAAATATTCTGTGGAGTTTTAAGACCAAATTTTGTTAATACATTTCAAAGAGAAACCCTTGCAGCTCCATTTACTAAAGCATGGGTTTATTTCCATTCTTTTTCCTTAAAACTTTAGGAAAGAATCCTAATTTGAGGTTCCACTTGTGTTCACCATCCTGCTCCCACAGTTCCCAGAAATGAAGCTCTCCTCACTGCAGGCACAGAGTTGCTAATTTATGGTGTTGACAGCTTTATACAATCCATTGTACTAGATTCTGGTGGCATATCCTTTGACTATTCATTGCAGGCCTGGATAATAGAGATGGTTGCTTGAATTATGATTTAGGTCTCCTACTTATGAAAACAATGTACTTTTTCATTTCTTTAGAATAATTATTAAGAAAATCAATCTAACCATACTTAAAAAAATGAGAAAATGTTTGGGCTGAAGATAGTTGCATAGGTAGGTGGATGGATGGATGGATTGATGGATGGATGGATGGATGGAGATGTATCATTAATATAATGAAAAAGGTTATCACAGTGTCTGCAAGTGCATGTGTGTGTGTGTTGCTGCTCTCTATTGGGGATCAAATAAATTCCAACTCTATTCCATTCGAAAACTTCTTCTTCATGAAAATTAAATAAAGTGCCTAGTAAAGTTCTAAGTACCAGGGACAAAGTATAACCCTCAACTATCTTTTTCTAAATTGTTCCAAATTTATGTTTAGATTAAGACAGTCAAAATTTGGCTAAGATAGCCTTTACTGAAAATTATTTTTCCTTTAAAATGGAGTGCTTTAATCTGCATGGCAATGAATAGAATTGACTTTGTTCAGCATAAGTTGTACACATACAGTTTTGAATACATTTTTTAGATGTTTTACCCTCAAGATTTTCTAACCCCAAATTTTCTGTGTGATTCTGGTAAATTGTAGGCAGGCAATTTTTTACACCGATTAATTTATCTTGTTTTATTTCCTTTAATCCTCTTAATATTATGAGGTAACTATAAGTATTCCTCATTTAACCTATGAAGAAATTTAAGCACAAAGAAGGAACTTGCAGAAGACTTACAGAAATAGAAAGTAGTAATTTGAATGCAGGAAACATCACTATGGAAGCCAGACTCTTTTCAATAACACTAAAAGGTCTTGCATGTAATATGGCCAAAACTAGGGAGCAACTATAGCCCAAAAAGGTACTTTCATTTAAAGTCATTCATTCTTAAATACTATGGCATTATGCATTAGTCTCAAATTTGCAAATAAAAATTATGTTGAGACCCAACATACTTGTATGCCATGATTACAGAAATGTTTCATAGTGAGATGCCAATTTAAAAAGCAGAGATCCTGAAAGTAAAAATGGTTTCTATTCCATAGATTCTGTTGTTCTTAAAATTCACCATGCACTTTCTAACCCCCCAGCTTTTTCTCATTTTCATTCTCTTTACATAATTTATATATGTGAATGCCTCCTAGTCTTTCAAATCTCAAATTATAATTCTTGTTTTAGGGAAGCTCTCCCTGCTGCCATCTGCATTAAGTTGGACTATCATAGCATAGTATTATAAACTGGATGCCTTAAACAAAAGAAATTTATTTTGAAAGCTGGAAGCTTAAGATTAGATTACCAGTATGGTCAGGTTCTGGTGAGAGTCCTCTTCTGGGTTGCAGTGAGCCATGTTCTCCATGTGTGCTCACATAGCCGCTTCCTTGATATATGGTTCTGTGGGGAGACAGGGGTTCAGGAGAAAGAGAGGAAGAAGGAGAGAGCAAGTGCTCCCTCTTCTTATGAAGCCATCAATTTTATCCTATCAAATTAAACCACAGCCTTATTACCTCATTTTTTAATCTTTTTTAATATTGAAATTTAATATTTTTTACTCTAACTTTCATTTAATAAATATAAATTTCCAAAGTACAACTTTTGGATTATAGCAGCTTTTTTCTCTCATAACCACCCTCCCACCCGCAACCATCCTATCTTCCACTCCCTCTCCCATCCCATTCCTCATCAAGATTCATTTTCAATTATCTTTATATACAGAAGTTCAATTTAGTATATACTAAGTAACCTGTTAAAATTACTATCTCTAAATTCTAGTAACATTAGGGTTTAGGGCATCAACATATGAATTTTAGGGAATACGTTCAGTGCGTAACATCATTGTATACGTTTCTGTAACATGTTCTCCTTTCTTAGAATAAATGTATTCCACTCACCTGTTTACTTACTTGTGTCTCATTAGTATGTGAGTTTCATGAGTATCTTCGAGCCAGATGCTAATTAAATTACCATGATATTCCTAGTATAAACCTGATACTTAATGGCATTGTGGTAAATGGTGGCTGAGTAATTGAAGAGGTTATATCAAATCATATTCCAACGTGCTTCTTTGCCAAGTCCAACAGCAAACACCATTAGAGCTGGGATAGGAGGACTGTTTTGCCCAAGCAGACATTTGGAGCATTGCTGGAGACAAAACACCAAAACAAGCCTCTGCCCACTTAGCTACTAAGCTTCACGACTTCAGTCTCCTCCAAAGTTCTCATCAAAGTGCATAACTGGAGTAAAACATAGACCAGCATTCATGACTGGTCTAGGAAGAAGGTGCTGCACCTGTTTATCTAAGTAGCATACCAACTCAATTTTTGAATTATTTCAGATGAACCAGATAGTCAATAATAGGACAAACAAATATATCTACTGAATAAATTACCATGTGATAAGGATAATATACACCAGAATCAGTTAAGATTGATTACAAAAAGACAATAGAAGCCTGTACAAAACTTTATTGTACTCGGAATAACAAGCATGTAACACAATTTTGAGCATGACAAAGATGAAACATTTCAAATTCTGTTTCTTACAAAAGCATTAAGTACAGTACACCAAGATTGTTCATAATGTTTTAAAGTTTGCTGAAAATATCAAGATGTACTACGATTTGTGTTGCTACCTTTCTTTACAACTAGAACATTTATTCCCACTAGCTTCGCTACAATGAAAATTAACATATATGGACATACACATGTAATACATGGGATGGAAACTGAAAGCATACAACAAATATTCCAATTGATCAGTAAGTATGAAGTAGAAAGTTCTTTTAGCACTTCTGAATTCATTTTCTCTGAATATGTTGTTCAATGAAACTTTTCTAAAATGTCTTTGATGTCATATAATCTGACCACTCCCAACGTCATCCATGTTTTCTCATAGCATATTCATTCTTTAGAGTTTGAAAATGAAATGAGAAACACTTTAATCTTCTTCAGAGGTGATATTCAAAATGTTAAACAACAAGAGGTCCACTGACCCTAACCAACAGGCACAAACACTGGAGTAAATGATAAGGCCGACAATACAGTTGTCTCTCAGTATCCACCCATTCCAGGACCCTCTCTCACCCCCATACCAAAATCTCCAGATGCTGAAGTCCTATAAAATGGCATTATATGTGCATGTAATCCATGCACAACCTCCTGTGTATTTTAAGTCAGCTCTAGATTACTTATAATACCTAATAAATATAAATGCCAGGTAAATAGTTGTGATAGTACATTGATTAGGGAAGGATGACAAGAAAATAGTCTCTGCATGTTCAGTTCAGATGCAATATTTTTCTGAATATTTCCAAGCCATGGCTGGTTGAATCTGGGGAAGCAGAACATGCAGATAGAGAGGGCCGACTGTACCGTCTATCCCAGCTGAATATCAGCCCTGATCTTATTTCCCATGACCAGATATGCTATTGCTAATGCAGAAGCATAAGTTGTGAGATGTGAAACATGAAATATACACGGACATGAAATTGAATTCCACTCTCTACTACATGGAGACTGAATGTGAAGTATTTCACAGTGACTAAATTTGACTGGCTAACAGGCAATGGTGGATTTTTATATTTAATTCTGATTAAAATGAATGGACTTTATAAGAAACCCTTGAAATTTAATTAATGCTACTCATGTCAAGGTGCCCTATTACTGAGGAGGCTTTAAAATCAGTCTATGTGACCTTTTATAACTCATATAGTTTTTCCTGCAGGACACAAATAATAACAATGCCGAGGTACTTCAGTTTCTTTTCAAGGGATCGCTGTTGGGTTTTCTTCCTGAGATGCAAAAGACCACAAAAGAAAAGCACCATGCCTAGGCTGCTGAATGAGGCACCAGACACTAATAGTTTGGTCCTTTTCTAAACGGATCTCTTCCAACAACGACACTAAAACACAGCGATGGGTCACAGATGCCAGGGGGGCCTGGCTGCCCTTGGATTCCAGGATTCCCATGATCTCCATCTTTCCCAGGAACACCTGGGTCTCCTGGGGGGCCTTCTTTGCTTATTCCAGGAGGGCCCTCTGGACCTAAAATGGGACATTAGCAATACATGAACAGAACATTTTGGATTATGATTTAAAATAGCATTCTGCAAAAAAAAAAAAAAAACACAATGTACACTGACAATACACTTAATGAGCATTTTGCATGTTTGCACTAATTGAAAAGAGAAAACATTCTCTTCCTAATTCTATATGCTGTCCACCTTGAAAAGAATTATTCAAAAGTGATCACTTATTCTTTATAAAAATAGGCTAAACATATTATTATAGCAATCATGCTACTGATTAAGACAATGAGCAAACATTTTAATATTCCAATTTGTAGACTGTCCAAACTTATTTCTTATACACTATCTTTTACCAAAATTATTCTAAATTACCAAATGATAAATACAGGTAAGCAAAGGCTCTAAATAGTGATTTTTATGCCACATCTGCAGTAACATTGATTATTTCCATTATACATTTTTAAAATTTCCATATCTGAATACATTGTTGTTAACATATCATAACAGTGTTTACAGCATTAATTTGTCAACTATTGCCTGATTAGTGCAAGTATCATGCTCAAGAACAAGACACTTCCAAGTGATCAATTTCAGTTCACAATTGATCATAATGAAAGGACTAAGAGTCAAAGGGAGCACATAAACAAGTCTAGTACCTGCTAATACTAACTGATAGAATAAATAAAGGGGAGAGTGATCCAACATGGGAAGTGAGATACTCAGCAGACTCATAGAATGGCGGATGTCCTAAACAGCACTCTGGCCTCAGAATCAGCCCTAAAGGCATTCCGATCTAGCTGAAAAGCCCATGAGAGTATATCAGGCATGGAAAGCCAAGACACTCAGGCAAAAAAGAAAAAAAAAACCTAAATGAAAGATCTCTGTGAGTGAGATCCCAGTGGAAAGAACAGGTCTTCAAAGAAGGAGGTACCTTTCTCTGAAGGGAGGAGAGAACCTCCACTTTGACTATGACCTTGTCTAAACAAGATAAGAGTCGGAGAACTCAAGGGGCTTCCATAGCCTTGGAAACTCATGACTGGAGCATGGGGAGATTACTGAGGCCATAAACAAGAGTGTCAATTGGTAAAGTCAACAACAGGAGTCACTGTGCACTTACTCCTCATGTAGGATCTCTGTCCTTAGCATGCTGTACATTGAGACTTAATGCTATAATGAGTACTCAAACAGTATATTTCACTTTGTGTTTCTATGGGGGTGCAAACTATTGAAATCATTACTTAATGTATACTAAACTGATCTTCTGTAAAAAAAAAAAAAAAAAAAAAAAAAAAGAAGAAGAAATTATCAATTCCCAACTTGACTCTCAATGGGATTAAACATGACAATAGGTCTGATCTGATTTCATCACCATTTAAAAAATCATCTATTATTTTTCACTTTATGTTTCTGTGTGGGAGCAAACTGTTGAAATCTTTACTTAATGTATGCTAAACTGATCTTCTGTAGATAAAGAGAATCGAAAATGAATCTTGATGTGAATGGAAGGGGAGAGGGAGTGGGAGAGGGGAGGGTTGCGGGTGGGAGGGACGTTATGGGGGGGAAGCCACTGTAATCCATAAGCTGTACTTTGGAAATTTATATTCATTAAATAAAAGTTAAAAAAAAAAGAACAAGACACTGATCTTAGGCCTTTTAAAGGTGATGATTCAAATTTTTTTAAAAAATATTCAGATTTTAGGCTATAACACAATAGTTTGAGGTATTTCCTACTACTCTACTTCCTGTTATTACAAATAATAAGCATTTGCTTTGCACTTAACTACAGTTCGAGGTATCATTTTAATTGTTCTATATAAACTACATTAAAACATTTGAACCACTAAAAGCCTTATGAATTAACAGCATCTAAAATAATAATAGCAAACCACTAAAAACATAATTGCAATTGTCATGTTCTGTTCTGAAAGTAATATATATATTAGCATTTTAAAAATTCCACTCAAGTCATCACCATTTTACAAATAAGGAAATGTTAAATATCACAGCTAGCAGGGCTTACATACGAGTCCAGTTCAGCGTTAATGTGTGGCCCTCAAAGTCACAAAAACTATACACTGGATAAGCCAGAATGACTACAACTATTCCAGAACATTTCTAAGAACTAGATGTTAGACTATCTTACATGAAAGAGACAACCTTGCATTATCTGTGATTGTAGTACAAAAATTCTAGTAATTGGATCTCAGTGTGTTAAATGTGAATACTCAAAAATGGAAACAACTGTTTTGTCTTCAAATGATTTGACAGTGTCTTGTTGTTTTTCTGAAGTCAAAATGTGCTGCAACACTTTTATGCACCTGTCTATTCTTACCTGGGGGGCCAGGAGGACCTTGTTCTCCAGGAAAGCCAAACCCTTGGCTCCCCTTCTCCCCGTTTCTTCCTGGTAGGCCTGTGGAGAGTCCAATATGTGCCTGAGTTTACATTTCCTGAAAATCACTGCCTTCTCGAATGCTTCTTTCAAAGCTGTTAATACATACGTTGAAAGAAAAGTAGAACGTCTTTTTAAAAATAGCCTGCCATCTATTTTTGTATTACTAATGGGAAAC